AATCTTTGATCGGCCCATTCTCAAATGCCTTTCTCCGTTCCTCCTCTCATTCCGTTTGTTCCTTGCCGAACCCGTAATTCCCTGGTCCATTCCAGATTATAATCTTTGCAATTGGTGAAAATGTAATCTTTATTCCCGTTTGTGACACCGTGGAGGTGTTTACGCTTGAGAAGGAAAGAGGCATCAAAAGTTGCAGAATTCCAGCAGCCATCACGTCGTCGGTCACCGGTCCCCCATTCATCTGTAAACATAGCCGCCGTCCCGCCCAACTTTGGACTTTCAAATCTTCGGTCTTCCGGTCTCTGTTAATTGAATTTGAAATCGATCTCCCAATCCTTTTCCTTTTCTGTAAGTTTTCTATTTGCTCCTTTTGGCTAACTTTTTGTGCTTGTTAACTTTTAAATTCAATCAAGACCTCGGTTCTATGAGCTGTGAAGTGAAGTCGGTCCAATCTCGGTTTTAGTCTTCTAGTTTGGAGCCTTCCTTCGTTATCGTTTCCCTGCAAATTTTTGTTTGTATCATTGTATTTTGTTTCTTCGGTCAAGTATGTATCTCTTATTAGGAGGGAGCCAAATCGTGAGATTGTGCAAAAATTTTCCTCTTTGTGATAGCTACTCTCTGGCTGTGAGTGGAGCGTCTATCACCAAACTCCCCAACAATCCCTGGTTAATGCAAATTTTAAAAGAACATTTGAAGACGCAGCCTTCAGGTTCCTTCAAGAATGATGTTCTTTTCCTTCTTGGTGGAACTAATGACTTTAGATTACGTGTAGCCCGTGCAGATGTGGAGAGGGAATACAGACACTTAGTGCGTCTTTGCTTAAAGCTTTTCAAAAAAGTAATCCTCGCGAAAGTTCCACCTATTCCTCTCTTGTCCGTTGAAATCAATGAGGAAATACGACTATTCAATGATTGGTTGTCAGCCTTTGTACGAAATCGACCCGATGTTATACTTTTAAATACCTTTGATGTATTCATGGATCCTACTTCGAAGACACCTAATTTACTTTGCTTCGAAAAAGAATATTTTGATGGTCGCAAGGATTTGATCCATCTTAATGCATTTGGTCTCTTCATCTTGAAGTGTAATTTTCTCAATGCAATGGAGGCATTGTAACTCTTCTTTTCAGTCCCCTACTATTTTACTTTTTTCATGGTTGGAAAAAAGTATACCAAACTGAATTCACTACTTATGGTTTTTAAAACGGCCCTCTTTAGGGCCAACAGCCTGCATCATTTATATTGTCTTGTGATATTAATTAGAGCAATGTATGTGATTAGTATCTCTTGGCCCTTTAATTACCCCCATGAATCGCACTTCTCAGCCGTTGACTCAATCAGAAAAAGTTTGGATTGGAATCATACATCATTCATCTTGATTTTCTCTACCAGTTTTACAATATTATCTATTCTCAGACAAGATTTAATAAATTTTGAAAGTATTATGTTGCTGTTAAGAGCCATTTTAAAGATTTTCTAAAATTATTCTATCTTTTAACAAGGCTTATACCTACCAATATGCTACATGGTACTCTTTGAAACTAATCCTAATGCTGGAATCAACATGCTTAATCTGGCAGCTGAATATGGAAGTCAACAGTCATTGCTCCACGGCTGATATTTTGCAGATTCGAGATATTTTCATCCAGATTTGTTTTAAATAGTACCGACATTATCTGATGGTCGCGGAGCCCTGTTTCTGAATTTTGCGCGACACAGGGAAAATTCAGGCATCGAGCCGATGACTTCCTCATTCACCTCCCACATTCAGCATGTGATTCCCACTTAAGACAAGGACCAACAAAGTACAAGCTGGAAACCTATGAAAATTATTGCTTGAATTTTAATTTGTAGTCAGCTACAGTTAATCTGAGTGTGGTAATATAAATGTTTTAGCTCTCAATTAAAGTTGTCTGGCATACGCTGAACTAGGTTTTTCTCTACAGCGTTTTGGGATTTTGCAATGAACAGAATTCAAACCTTCTACCTACCCTTAATGATGATTTTCCTCTAATCTGCTCTTTTTTTTTGTTTGCTAATAACTCAACTTGACCGAATCTGAATGGGACTCACGATTGTCAGAGGTGAATTTTTTTGCTGTGATGATGGTGAGAATGGAGAACGATTTGAAGATGATGAGCGAAGCAACTGCACCCAGGAGGTAATATGTCAGGTATAGTAAATATAATTAGTAAGTTTCCTAATTACACGTTAATTTTTTCTCATTAATTTTTTAGTAAAATTTTCAACTATGAGTGAGCAGATAGGAGATGACTCAGATTCAGAATGGTTTAAACCGAAAAGTGGCCCGAAGAGAAATGATATCTCCACTTGTGCAGCGGTCCCCTCTGGTCAAAATTACGTTTGCAAGTTCTGCTCCAAAACTTATCATATACGCCAATCTTTTCTTAAACATCTTAAAAGTAGATCTTGCCAAAAGCCTCCGAAGCCCTCTGAAAATTCAAAGCCCAAATACTACATTTGTTCCAATTGCGATGTGCAAATAGGAGAGAGGAAAAATTTTATGAGGCATGCAATAAAATGTAAAGGCAAAGATGAAGCAAAGTATACAAAGTGTTTGGAGCCTTCTTGTCCTATCTTATTTTATAAAACATCTGAGCTCATGAAACACCTAAATGAGGAACATATGCAGAGCATTAATATTGAACACCATAAATTTAATTCTGTCGATGAATTCAACTCCTTTAAGAATGAGCAGAACATTAAGTATTTCATGTCATGTGTCGACCATTGGGGCTCGCGCACTATCAAAGGTATCTCTTACTCTTATTATATCTGCAATCACAATGTTAAAGACGAGAAGAAACGAATAAAGAAGCATAGGATTCCT